ACAGAACTGGAACCGTCATCTTAAAAACGATGATCTCCCAGGCAAAATAAATTAAGTCTTGGAATTATGTCAAGACTTTTAACTGAAGATGAAGCTTCAAAACAAACTTTGTGCAAAAATGAAACTCACTTTTTCCCTTTAACCCATCTTTCTACCTACTGCTTCTCTGGTTGTTTCTGTCTGTAAATCAAACACATACTCTTTTTCTTGTTTTCTGGAAGACTTCCAAAGGTTGGGGGGAAGTCTTACAGGAAACCTTTCCAAAACATATTTAGGACTTGTTCTTCCTGTGCAGATAAAACCCTCAGATATGTTTTAATACAGACTAACTGAAACTGGAAAACTGTAATATTTGGGTTGAGGCGTTTTTTTTTTTAATTAAAAAGTAGAAATGTGATGGTCATTTTTCCTGTTAGAATTTGCATCAAAAGTTTTACTTCACTGTTACTTCCTTGTTTCTTTCGGTGAGTTCCAGATGTGCTAATAATTTGAGATTTGTCTTGGTATAAATGTTTATTTGATCAAATGAGCATGTATTGCATTCTGAGACTTCCTTATCGTATTATCAGATGGAAGTGAATGCAGTATCTGCCTTTCATGAAGTTTTCTGTATGGCTTTGATTTGAAAACACATGGCTTTGAGTTACAAAAATAATCTGGAAGAAAAGACCTATACGTGCAAGCAAGATAGGGCTTTAATTCTTTCCCAGATATAGGCTTAGATTTTCTAGGTGTCCTGGAGTCTAACTGTGTATTTTATTAATCTCATTTTGTCTTGTGTGACTATTGATATACCACAGAAATGGAGTCCATTCTTAGAATACTGCCAATTCACAGAATTAGAATTTTGTACCAGTTCAAGTTAATTGTGCAATGTCTAAAGTGGTTGGCTCTCATTAACTTCAAATTTATTTCTGTTTTTCTTCCTCCAGGGAGCATACGTCAGACTTCTGGCCTCTTATTACTAAATTATATATTCTTTCGTTGATCCCTTGGAAAACTCAACCCTCCCTGTTTAACAGGTATTTCTTTTGGGGTAGTAAGGAGCAGTGATGAACAAAAGCAGTCAAGGCAACAATATATCATCAACATACGTACTGACATTTACAATACTCCCATGGTTATTTGAAGTACGTTATTAAGAGAAGTTGCTGAGTTGCTATCTAACTTACTGTGGTGTTTGCTAGTTACATGGTTTGCATATACTATCATTATTATTAAGCCTTCCCTTGTTTATAAACCACACTGAAATACTGCTTAACAAGGAGAGAAGCAGAGGTAGATGATTGTCAGTGTTAGGACCTAACTAAAGAAGCATGCTGACTTTAAGTTTACGTCGCATCTTTTGCACTACTCTGTGACGTATTAGGAAATGCTCTGAGTTTAATGAGACAAAAGTAGAAATGAACACAATCCAACCAGATAGGAGTTGTTAGTCCAGAGGGGTATATAGATGCTTTCAGGGATGCTGATGCCGTGGCTAACATCATCTGTGCGTTCAAAACAGGCTTTAAAAACAGTGTTAACATAGCCAAAAATGGATGCCAGGGGAGAATGATGAGTAATTCAAGGTATGTGTGTCTGCGTCTTTTCTTCTCCCCACAGTCTTATTAGTCCCTGACTCCCACAGAAGGTAAATATTAGTGTTTTACACT